GAGTGACAGCACATGGTAATGTGATTTAAAAAAAAAAACAACTTTTGCAAAATAAAAGGTTTTCAATTTTCTGTTGATCCCTAAAATTCTGAATGAAATAAAGTTCATTCCCCTATTCTATTTTTTTTTTAAAGAGAGAGTGAGAGAGGAGAGAAAGAGAGAGTATTTTTAACATTTATTTTTTAGTTCCCGGCAGACACAACATCTTTGTTTGTATGTGGTGCTGAGGATCGAACCTGGGTCGTACGCATGCCAGGCGACCGCGCTACCCTTGAGCCACATCCCCAGCCCTCATTCCCCTATTCTATACAAATATTTAATTTTCCTTCTTTTTGGTTAAAAAAAAATCACAATACTCAAAGTCTACAGGAAACTCTGATTTGTTAGTCCAGAGTTAACTGTTCTAGTAACATCTGAAATAAGGAAACATAAACCCTTGGCCTTTTGAAATTCTAGTTAACTGTCCAATATTTATAGAAAGTCCTTTCTGAACTGTTAAGCACCATTTTAAGGACCCAATGTTGGTGCTTCTTTTGCCAACTTATTTTGAAATCTGGCTTCATTTTTAAATTTTCTTTTCTTTCTTCCTCTCCTCCCCCTCCTTCCCTCCCTCTCTCTCCTCCCCCTCCCTCCCTCCCTCTCTCCCCCCTCCCTCTCTCCCCCCCCTCTCTCCCCCCCCTCCCTCTCTCCCCCCCCTCTCTCTCTCTCCTCCCTCCCCTCTCTCCGCCTTCATCTCTCCAACAGAAAAAAAATTAAAAAAAAAAAAGAATTAATCTGGAGAAGATCTTGGTTCTACATTGTTCTTTCTAATCCCACAGCCTACTCTGGCAGTTAAGGGCACCATTTCTCTATGGATTGTAAATTGGGGTTAGGGCACACTTGGAGGGTAGAAAGTCAAAGCTGACCTCAGAGAAGGATAAACTGTGGAACTCTGGTTGTGCTTTTAGGGAGCAAGAGAGTTTGTTGTAGTGAATGTTGAAGGCTTTGCTTCTGGACATCTGGAGGTACTTTACTAGGTAGTTCTCAAAGTCCAGTTGTGGAGTTCCTAAATCTATATGTAGCCAAAAGCTTTGCTCCAAGCCCATTTCTTCACTAAGCATACACTTAGTTCCAGCTCTCCTTAGATACACATGCCTGTGTTGAACCTTGATATTTTCCCCTCAGGATACCCTTTATGTTCATTCAAACTTGATTTCACCTCCATACAAAGATGCATGTTGGACAACAGCTGATTTCCCTCTATAAAGTAATGAAGGGCAGGGAGGACCACCCATGAGACCAGTTGTGAATCCCCCCCAGGATGATTGGGATGGGAGAGGTAAATGGCTGTTAAGTTGGGAGCAGGAGAATAGTCCCAGGGTGGAAATGGAATTGAAGGGGAACTACTTCTAAACCAGAATTGGTCTTTCTGCTGACAGCTACTTGGAGGTGAAATGTTCTCTGTGTATTGTGGGGATCCAGGCCCTGGCAGAAATGGATCGGTGGCGGGAAGTCCTCTCATGGGTCCTTCAATATTACCAGGTCCCTGAAAAGCTACCCCCGAAAGTCCTGGAGCTGTGGTAGGTCCTTTTTGTTGGCACTAGATCAGTACCGGAACAAGAGGATTTTTCTCTTCTCTCTTGAATCTGGATCTAATACTTCTTCTTTCTCCATCCTTAACCACTTCCCTCCAAAGCTAATCCTCCCTGCTTTTGTCAGACCTCAAAATAGCAGTAAAGGATGAGGAAGGGGGATTTTAGGACTGGGATAGAGGAAAAGAAGAAGAGGGGACAGGGAATAGGAGTGAGGTGGGATGACCAGTAGATAGAACTGAAGGAGCTGCTTGCTACTTCCTAGGAATTCCTAATTCTTTAACAATATCAGCATTCTATAGGGAATGGCTGGAGGACTTGGGAGGGGTTTGATAGGAGAAGCATAGTGGTTATGAGAAATAACCAACTATGGAGCACTGACTCTACTTTTTTTTTGGGGGGGGGAATTGCATTATTTGGGGATGCAGCATTCTTTTATACAGCAAAATGCAAGAGCCTGGAGCAGTGCTGAATGTGGTATGTTCCTGGCTTCAAGACCCAGACAACCAGCGCCTTCCAGAATATGGAGCTTTGTGTGAACTCCACCTACAGCGGGTGCTACTGCCTCTGGGCCACTTTTTGGAGGCTGAAAAGCTTGTGGTGGGCTCTGCAGCCTTTGGTGAGGAGCAGCGACTAAAAGTGCTCCAGACCATTCATACAGCGAGGCAACAGCAGAAACAGGAACATTCAAGCTCCCAGGAGGTCCAGAAACTAAACCAGGAAGGTAGGATTATACCTCTGTGGTCTCTATAGAGTGGAATTGCGGACTTTGCCTCCATCTTGAGTCCTTCAAGGCTTTCCTAAGACCTTGGGAGCAATTCTTTGTATGAATAACTCTTGAATCACAGAAACTTGATGAATTGCCTAAAAAAGCCAATCAGACCCTCTAAAGTTTGCAATGAAATGAGACTCTCCATAAAGGGTTGGGGTTTATGGATCTCTGAATTGTGATTCTGGTCTTCTGAAGGTCACCTTCCTTTTCTGGGCTGATCAGTCATCATCTCCTTGAGGTCCTCTCATTAGATATCTTGCTTCTACCATAATAGCCTGGTGGGATGTTAGTCCTCCTTTAAATGCTGGCCCCAACACAGACAAATATGAGATATATTCAGGATAGCTGAGAAACTAACATCATAATTTCGTAACTTGACTTTATGAAGTAAGTATTACTTGTTTTCAGCTTTTGGTTCCTGCCCAATTCCAGTCTACCTTCACTTAACTAGAGCTTTTGAGTATTTCTATTTTCTTGAGGTCTAACTTGCTCATTTGGATGCAGTTTTACACAATGGCTTCTAGTTAGCATCATGCTAGGATCACCTACACAAAGGTGAGTGTGGGGACTGTTCTGTTACAAGAGAATTTAAAGGCCCTGTAGTCCAGACCCTGCCCCTGATCCTTAAATCCTTTCATCTCCCTTTCCTTGAGTTTTTGTGTGAATACTTGCAAAGATAGAAAATTCATTATCTCCTGAAACAGCACATTCCATCTCTAGACAGTTCTGCAGAAAAATTCTTTATTATGCTAAATTTAAAAATTTCATCTGGGAGTCTTTTTGTTGTTTTGTTTTTTAATTAACAAAGGTCCTTCAGTTTAATTAGGAGACTGTAATCCTGTTCTCAAAAATATTATTCATGGTGTGCTTAAAAGCATCAACCTGCTGAGGTAGAATCACTTCTTTGCAAGCAGGTTGCTGGCTTCAGGGATCATGTGTGGCTGCCTTGGCCCTCTACCCTGCACCTCCTGGGAGGGAGAGGGTGAGAAGAGATGTTTGATGGCAAGTCCAGATTCTTCTTTCAGGACTGATACTGCTTGCCTTTGTGCTGGTAGTATTCATGCTTATATTCATAATCCAAGACTATTGAATTCTTCACTATATATATTAAGTGCCTTTCATTTCACTGTGTTAATATAATAGAATTGTGGGTCTGTGTTACTCTTGTGTATGTGTCATAAGCTAGGCTATAAATAAGGCTATAAAATAATGAGACCATTAAAAGAAACACCGTATATGCTGGGCTTACTCAGCTAAGTAGGTGTTGTCTGCACATGACACTCAGTTGGTGATGTAGTCTGTCCTCAAAACATTTTCGAAGCTTTTGGAATTTCCTTTTGAATAACTTCATGAGGTAACTCTTATAATTTAGCTCAGAACTGAACCTATTCTCCTAACTTACTCTGAAGTTACACTCTGTCCCCTGACCAGGCTCATTTTCCCACAAGTTCCTGTCACTACTGATGCTGCTTCGTCGGCTTTGGGACTGTGCTCTGAGCTACTTTCTTTCTCTATCCTTCAAGAAGAGCCTCCTTGCCACATTGATCCTTTGTCTCTTGGTGGTAAGGTTTGATCCAGGTAAGTGAGAACATTCCACACCCTCCTTCCTGGGGAAGGGGTCCTTGACAGTGATTGGGCCTGTGGGAACAGTTGCTTTTCTGTACTCCCATCAGAGCCCTGCTGGGGATGGAGCCATGGACTACAACATTGTTCCCTAAGCCTCTGCCACAATGAGGATTTAAGCAGAAGTCAGCCTTACCTGGAAGGAAAGACTAGCTGTAGAGTCTATGGGAGCAGTTTGGAGAAAATCCACTCTGCAATTTGAGTGTTCTCCTGAACACTGATGGAGTCATGTAGGTGTCTGCTTTATTTAGGAGTGAAATCTGACTAGCACCTCAGAATTAAAAACAAAACAAACCTTCACTATGAATATTTAAAAGAGTGTTGGGGCTGGGGATGTGGCTCAAGCGGTAGCGCGCTGGCCTGGCATGCGTGCGGCCCGGGTTCGATCCTCAGCACCACATACCAACAAAGATGTTGTGTCTGCCAAGAACTAAAACATAAATATTAAAAATTCTCTCTCTATCTCTCTCTCCCTCCTCTCTCACTCTCTCTTAAGAAAAAAAAGAGTGTTAATCTAAGTATAATGTCTAATTAATGTTTATAAAATTGTTAATGTTACAAATATTAAATTGTAAGTGAAATACTTTTACATTTTAGAAAAAATGTGGAGATAGGCACAGTGGTACATGTGCATAATCCCAGCTACTTAGGAGCTGAGGCAGGAGAATCACAAATTCCAGACCAGCCTCAGCAATTTGCCCAAAATTAAAAAAATAAAAACAAGGCTGGGGCTGTGACTCAGTTATAGAGTGTTCCTGGGTTAAGTACCTATTACTGCTAAAGTGGGGAGGGGAGTGGAAAACAGAGAAAAGCATAAAGAAGAAGAAGAAAAAAAAATCACCTATGCTTAGTATTGCAGTGGTTAAACTTGCAGTCATGGATATGGATATGGTAGTATGGTAAGCAGTTTTATGTATCATAAGTATTCTTTTAAGCTTGGCTTTAAATAGCCTAAATAATATTTCAATTTATAGAAATTCCCATAATTGATTTAAATATTCAACATTCTGATGACGATTCTGTTTTCTGTCTTACTACAAAGTAGAAAGTGATACTTTGGACACCGTTGATTATTTCCTGAATTAACTGTTCAGATGTATAAACACTGGACCAAGGTTAGACAAACATGTGTTTAGATTATTTTTTTCTGTTACTTTCTGTGAGTTATGATCTAATTTCCACTCTGTTTTTTAACTCAGACTTAAAGTTATATGACTTTAACCCTTTTGCTGTATTCTGAGTAGAAATTTCCTCCAGAAAGTCCTATTTGCTGTACGAAGTCACTAGGTGGCTCTCAAAACTGGTAAGGATAGGGCTGGGATGTTAGATTGGTGGTGGAACACTTGCCTAGCTTGTGCAAGGCCCTGGATTTAATTCCTGGCACCACAAACAAACAAACAAACAAACAAAAAAAGCTAGTCTGTGTTCTTTCTTGTTATCTACGCTTTGACTTTCTACTTTGAACTAGAGACTTCATAAAAACTTAGAAATTCCTTATGGTTCCTCTAAGCCCTTAAGTCTCATAAATGCTGATCTGAATGGGGATAGCAGGCCATTTGAACTTGCTGTTTCCAAGGCTGCTCAGAGCTTCTTCAGAAGTATCTTGGCCTAAAGGAGGAGAGGATCTGCAAGTGGACCACAGTTAGAACTGCTAGAAAGGATATAAGAACAGTTGACTATCAGTAGCTTTAAAAACAAAAACATTTTTTAAGGGTGGAGGTTGAAGTTCAGTGGTACAGCATGTGCTCAGCATGATCAAAGTTTTGGGTTCCATCCCTAACGCCAGACAATTTTTTAAGTTTCTCTTGTTTTGTTTTGTTTCATTTTTATATGTGGTGTCACCATGTTGCCCAAACTGTCCTTGAATCCCCGGACATAAAATGATTCTCCTACCTCAGCCTCACAAGTATCTGGCCCATTTTTTTTTTCAAAGAAAAAAATGTATATTCCCTGTTAAATCAATCAGTAATTCAAACAAAGAAAAGAAAAAACCTGGTAGATCTTATTTTATATTATTTTCAGTATAATTAACTTTTATAGTAAATTATCATATGGCTTCAAATTTAAAAGGTACAGAAAGGTACAAAATGTAGTGAAAGATTATCCCCAAATTGCTCTTCCAAAGACAGTCACTATTGCCAGTTTTTTTAATATTAAAAAGTTAGATTAAATCCAGATCTTTTTCTTAGAAAATTTAAGGTCATTGTAATTTAAGTGGAGAAACCATATCCCAGAGAAAGTGAGATTCCTTATTATTGAAGAAGATGCAAATAACATGAAGCACCAAGTACATATCCTCAGGTGGCAGAGCTCCTGAGGACCAAGTAATGGGTAGAGTGGAAAGGGGCGTGTGAGAAGGGACACTTACCAGAGTCTTTCCCTCTTCCTGCAGCGTCTCCTTCTTCCCTGCCCTTCCTCTACCAGCTGGCTCAGCTCTTCCACCGGATCCGGAAGGCCATGTTTGCTCGCCTCTACCAGCTTCCCCTCCATGACTGAGTAGTCTTCCACCTGCACCCTGGCCTCTCGTTTTCCACCTTTGTAGGAGAATATTCTTTTCCCTGATGCCAGTCAGGCCCCTGTAGTAATGGGGCGAGCCTCATTCCAGGGGGAACATTCTGGATTGCTGCTCTTATGCCCTTCTCTCTGCACCCATTGCCTCTCCTTGGTGGAGAATGTGGAAACAAAGTGGGGCCACAGCACACAGCTGTTAGAACTGCACCCTCTTATACTCAGGCCTCTTGGGAGGAAGGGGTTTGGGATCGGGGAATGTGTCCCTGAAACATTCCATTTTCTTGGCAAAGGCAGGGGGTGACCTTCCAGGTCAGGGTGTTGACAGAGCAAAAAGTTCAGAAACATCCTAGTGGAGTGACCCTTGACCTTTTACTTCCTTGAAAAACTTATTTCTGAATATCCTCTTACAGGGCAGCACCTTAATTAGAGTGAGTGATATCAGAGAGAACTTCTCTCTTTTCTCCTCTATTTCTCTCCACAGACCTGTTATAATTGTGAATCAAGCCACTGTTCCCCTGGTCCTGCAGTGGGTGTGAAGGCTTCCTGACTCTTGAGGCCTCTCCCTGCTTGGAATGGGGCATGGCTTTCAGAATACCAAGGTGACCACTGAAAGCAAAGTGAGCCCGCTCAGTCTTTATCACTGGGTAAAGTGATCTTGCTTGGTGCCTCTTGGTCTTCAGCTCACTTTTCCAACATGTCAGTGGCCAAACCCTGCTCAATTACATTCAGTGTCCTTGCCCACTCTTTCAGCCTGCCACTCTCTCTCTCCTTCCTGAAAACTGCCCCATAGTTGTTTATCTGTATCATTGTGACTTTGGTACATGCAGTGGCAGATCCTCCCCATCATGTCTGTCCTAATTATGTTCTATCGTTTGTATAATGCCCAAGTTTTTCTGCTTCTGTAGGCTTGAAAAGTAGGCCAGCCTCAGAGGCTGACGAGCCGAAAATGGAACTGGGTAATCAGGTGAGCTGGAAGGAATGTGTGGGGGGCTGGGCTGAGATAAGATGTGGTCTTTGAAGGCAGTGAACAATAGACTTTAGAGGAGGAAACACTGGAGCCTTGGCATTGAGGAGTTGAAACATTTCAGTTTTGTTTTTTTTTTTTCTCCTTGGCCACAAAAATAGTATATGTTTCTTTGTAAGTAAATGTAGAGTACTACTGTGTGTCAGAATCATGAAAACTTTCAGCCAGGGCTGGCCTCTTCATCGAAGTCCAAGCAAGCTGCCCATACTGGGACCCCAGTCAACATTGATGCCAAGGATACTTACTAGCTTGTGTTGGTCCATTTTCAGGGTTTGTGAGTTAACAATTTCTCTTTAGAGAAAACAAACATCACAGACCCTTGGAATTAAATCTAAAACTCTAGGACATGGTCCAACTCTTTGCAAGAAGCAAATCTATGCTTTGTATAATAGCCTTTAAATTGAACTTAGAACCCCAAAAAGACAAAGGGAATCAGGCAAAGTGTGAGATCCCTCCTTTGGAGTAAATTTTTCTTTGTTTTTGAGGTGGAGGTCTTGCAGTTTTGCCCAGATTGGCCTTAAACTCCTGGGCTCAAGTGATCCTCCTGCTTCAGTCTCCTTAGTTAATGGGACTTATGTACCTGGCTTAGGATGAGTTCTCAAAAATGAAAATCTGGTCCCATTCACAACCCTAGAGAAAATCTTTAGTGGTTTCCATGATCCCTAGGATAAAATCCAGATTCTTCATGTTTGTTAAGGCCTGGTAGGTGTAGGTTTCGGTGAAATACCTCCATGTGTCTGGGGCCTCTATTCCTTAGACATGCTGCTTCCAGCCACCAGGCAATCAGGGTTTCTTCAGGCCTCTGTAGCTTGATGCTCCTGCTGGAAGGCCCTGTGTTTGTTCTCTGTCTGGGGAGCTCCTCAACCTTCTAGTCTTGTTCCAGGGAGCCTCTAGGAATCCTTCCCCAAGTCCTCCTGCTTCCAGGCCCTTGTTTCTTTTCTTTTTTCCCCTTGTTTCTTATCCCTTGTGCAGTCATGACCTATAGTTGCATAATTCCTCATTGCTTCTGGTGCGCTGAGCTGTTTGAGGCTGGGGAGTGTGACTGTGGTGGTTTTTAAGAGTAGGGCTCAGATCCTTTATGTAATCTTATCTTTCTCAACCTCAGGCTCTCATTTCTTAAGTTCTTATCCCACAAGGACTTTTAGATGAGTAAAGAGGTTGTTCATAAGGAAGCACTTAGCACATTCTGCCCTAGGGAGGAGCTCTTGTGAGTGATTGCAGTTACCAGGTCCAGCTGTATCCCAGGGCCCAGCAAGGAGCCTAGAAATGAGAAGGTGCTCAGAGGGGTTAATGAGTGGATTGATGTGACATAAGAGGGCTACATGCTTTTGGTAAGTTTGTGCAATTTTGTGTTGTGAAAACCCTGAACATAAAGACCTGATCATCCCCAACTCATTGTTTTGCTCTCCCTGAAGCTCCCAGTGCCATTCAGCTTGCAGGTCTTTAAGGTCTCTGTTCTGAACTCTGCAATGCTTGCTGGGTACAGCCGCAGCTACCTGTCTAATCAGGTGAGGAACTATGGATGTAGACAGGTGCTCATATGGGTCTTCAATTCTGGGCTTAATGAGGTCAAGTGAAGAGAGGGCTTTCTTGTCAGACTTACTAAACCCGCACTATTCAATACTTTGGCCATTAGCCAAATGTAGCTTTTGAGCATTTGAAATGTGGCCAGTCCAAATTGAAACATTCTGTATATGTAAAATACACACTGGATTTTGAAGACCAAATTAAAAAAAAAACAACAGAAACTCAAAATTATTTTTATGTTGATTGCATGTTTAAATAATAATTTTGGATATATTAGATAAAATAAAATCTATTAAAACTAATTTCATCTGTTTCTTTGTATTTTTTGAACTGAGGCTCCTAGTCTGTTTAAAGTGACCTATGTGGCATGCACTAGGGTGGTGCTGTTCAACACATACAACACACACCAGCAATTTAGAGGGGGATCAGAGAAGTGCAGTGTATGGTGGGATTTGGAGTATGTTAGAAGTGGAAAGAGCCTCAGTGGCAGATCACATCTTATAACCCTCTTTTTTAGCTAAAGAAATTTAGACCCAGAAAGGTAAAGCCATTTGCTCCAAGTCACAGAGCCTCAATAAGACTCAATAAGTCTCTCAACTCTTGGGCCTGGTGTTCTCACTTGCTCTCCAAATCCTCACTGTCACTGCTGGTATAAAGTTCATTATAGGCAGACGTATCTGAAAGGGGAAAATTTAGCTAGAGTTAGTTGGTTAGTTCTGTAGGGTTCTGAAGGAATGCAACATGGGAGAAAGATTTTTCACTTCAGGGGTGGTTAACAGGGGTATGGGGGTCTGAGAGGATGGAGTATAGTGGAGAAGAAAAATTAGACTACTGTGGGAAATCATGGGGTGGAGGTGGGTAGGCAACAGAATAGCTAGTACCTGGAGGAGGATGTAGAATTCTCCTAAAAAGGTGATCAGAAAGAATGTCACTTCATGGCCTCATGCAAGTGATCCCCACTCTTGCATGTAAGTGTCTGCATGTATGTATATGAAGATCATATAGAGTTTTATACATACAGTACAGAATGCAAAAAGGTACAAAATTTATGGAAAGGAAAGTTTATTTTTTTACCCTATTCATTCTGAATCCCCCATTTCCTGCCCAGAGGCAACCACTGCTTTGAGTCTGTTTCTCTTTTCAGACATAGTCTCAGATGTTAAGTTTCTCTTTCTCTTTAACAAATGATAGTATACTACACCCTTACACACAACTTTTTTTAACTTAATTCGGAATCTTTGTTCCCTGTCAGCACATGTAGAACATCTTAATTCTTCACTGCTAAGTCTTATTTCATTGTGGGCTAGGATCACAGAGCCTATCCCTTTTCTGTTTTTTTCTAATTGTAGAGATAGGTCTTACTATGTTGCCCAGGCTGGACTTGAACTCCTGGGTTCAAGTGATCCTTCTGCCTTTGCCTTCCAAGTAGCTACCTTTTCCTTTTAAGTTTGCCGACATCTCTCATACATTTTTATTGTTACTTCTCTGTAAACACAAAGGTTGCTCTAACTACCCAAATTGCATTGGATTCAGGAAGGGCTTTTCACACTCTGAACATGCAACGTCCCCCCCCCCCCAAAAAAAAAAATCTGCACTCAATCTGTCCTTCCCACCTGGTTAAAACAGCCAGAAGAAATAGCAGAAAGAAGTCCTGATCTGACTGCAAATAGGGTACTACCAAGAACCTCACCCTTGCTTCCCTCCTTGCATGGAAAACCTCAGAGCTAATAGACTTTGACCTCAGCTGCTCAAAGGTGTGGTTGTAATTCTACTGATTTTACCTTGACCTTAGTTAAGCAGCTGCATGCAATCTGGCCAAGGTTGGCCTCCCTACTCTGCCCTAGCACCTTGTTAGAACTATACCACTTGGAGTGTTTACTAAAAAAATGTAGGGCCCTTTTGCTTCTCTCCCTTTGGAAACTAGTATTTAGGGCTGGAAAGAAGCTAAATTAAAGGCCATGGGTGCACTGCTTCTCTTGGCAGCTTATCAGTCCCCTCTGTGTCCCTTCTTCTCCAGTGATGAAGAAAGGAGGAAGTAGGGGGTCCTGATACCATTTGAGTCTCTAGGCCTCTTGATAAAACAGTAAACAGTTTCTTTAAAAAAAATATATATATATTATATGTAAATATATTTGACATAAGTATATAAAACAAATATATTTTAATTTTTTACTTTTTGCAGTCCTGGGGATGGAACCCAGGGCCTTGCTAATGCCAGGTACAAGCTCTATCACTGACCACATCCCCAGGGCTGTTTTGCTTTAAAGCAGTCCCCACCTATGCCGGGTTTTGCTTTCCATAGTTTTAGTTTCCTATGGTCCACACTGGGTAGTACTGAACCTTTATATATCTTACTGTAAGATTTTTTGAGAAATACCATATTCACATATCATTTATTACAGTTTATAATTGTTCTACATTATTTTTGGACATTGCTAATCTCTTCCTCTACCAACTTTATAAATTAAACTTTATCGAAGTTATGTGTGTTAGGAAAAAACATAGTAACACAGGGTTTGCGATTTTCTCCAGTTCCCGGTACTAAATTCAGGGTCTTGAATTATCCCCTTTGAATGAGGAGAGGAGGACTACTGTAATTATATTTTAGAAAATATTAAAAGTTAATGATTACATGACTAAAGATTCTGCAACATGTACATTCAGAAAAATAAGAAATTATATTCCATTTATGATATCAAAGTGCATAAATGCATTCTACTGTCATGTGTAACTAATTAAAAAATTTAAATAAAACAAGTTAAATAGAAGAAATATAGATAGGCCTTGTGGTTCCACTCATTGATGATCACTGCTAATATTGGTTGATTTTCTTTTTTAAATTTAAACACCCAATCCTGTAGACAGCCCTGACCTTTTGAGAATCTTGTGAAAATGGCAGTTTGCAGACAGAATGATTTGTGCATTTATAGGGACCAATAGGCAGCTGCCCCAGGGAGAAAAGGTGATCTCAGAAAGGGAAGACTGGGGACAAGGAACTGGGCAGAGTTGCTCTTCTCTGTGAAGCTGAACAGCTTGTGCTACACATGGAATCATGGCATGCCGTTGTGTGCCTGCTCTTGCCAGTAGGCCAGATCCAAATACATGGCTGGGATTTTATGGCCCACTTCTAATTTTATTGCTACAGACCCAAGTTCATATTTAATTTTATTTCCCAGTTTATGTTTCCCAAAGTTTAGGAACTTTGAAACTTTTAATATCTCCTTATCACTTTGTACCATTTGAGGTGGAGGCAGGGGATCATTAGATTTGATGGAGACTGAAAATATAATGTTTAGAGACTTGATTGAAAACCCAAAGGAGTTTTGTGGAAAAGTGTTAGTTTGGGGGTGGGGCACTTTAACAATAATATCAATGCTATTTGTATGGAAAGGTTTCTTAGCCAGAAAACTGATTTGTAGAACCCTTAGAACATAACCAATGGATTCTCACCTTCAGAGATCTTAAGTTCTGGGAAAAAAAGTCTTCAAATTTTATTTTACTTTACTTTTTATTGTCATGTTGGGGTTGGAACCCAGGGCTTCACACACACTAGGCAAGTACTCTACCAGTAAGCCACACCCTCAGCCCCTATATTTTTTACAAAAAGGCTTATTTTCAAGTGCAATAGAACACCATTCCTTGCTTGGCTCCTTGCTTCATCTGTAGCCTCATTGACTCCTTTTTCTCTATTTCGTTATATGGTTTCTCATTTTCTTTGGGCCTTCAAACTTGAAGTGAGTGAACCCTCAAGGTGCTTTTCTGTTTCTACATGTTCTTTCTCTCGGAGAGGGTTTATTTATTTTTCTTTTTTTTTTACTTCTATGATTCAGCTGTTTCCTTTATCTGAATGTTTCCCCATCTTTAGCTCCATCCTTGACATCTCAGGGTTTGTCTAATTCCATATTCAATTGCAGAGAAAATTTGGACCCACACCCTTCTTGCCGTGTTCTCCATCTGGCCTCTTGGCCTTTGTTCTGGTTGTTGGTCAGCTTCATCCCCATACCCACTCAGGCTGTTCCCTGTATTTCATTTTTCCATACTCTGTTAGATATCAACTCACTACTTAGCTAGATTTCTGTGTAAGGCCTTTGCTGGCCACTATCATAATGATATTTCTCTTTCCAGTCATTTTCTTGCACTTATTAGTCAAGCCACTTATTTCATTAAGTCAGTAGATATTTGTTCTTAAACTGTTTTAATGGATCATATCTTATCTCTCCAGCTGGATGGAAGTCTTTTAAGAGAGAGAGGGAGAGAGAAGAGAGAGAGAGAGAGAGAGAGAG